CACGTTTTATTGAATAGACAATACGGTCATTTTAAACTGGTGGCCTAGAAAACCAAATTTCAGAAAGTTAGGCCATGGTGTACATAGTTCGATAGAGCATGTTCTGAGAGTTCCATATCAGTTCTTAGATTCGAAAAATATCGATTTAGAAGCGAGTTATGGCCATTTTAGTTCTGGTGGCCTAGGAATCCAAAACTAGGCCAGATCGTCCCAAAAGTTGAAATAGTCATAACTCGCTTCAAAACCCATGCTTTTCAAATCTTAAAACTCATATGGATGTCTTTAAACATGCTCTTTGGAACTATGTACACCATGACCTAGTTTTTGGATTTCTAGGCCAGCAATAAATTTGTCTCCATTTTCCAGCAAATCGTGTTCTACCTGCACATTCGAAAGCTGGAACGAGACTTGACTGGCGAGGGAGACACGGAACTACCAGTGAGAGTGTTCAATTCAGGACAGGAGCCAGTAGCCGTGGGAGATTGTATCAATCTTCGTAAGCTTTTTGATGGCCTAGAACTCCAAAAAGTTAGGCCACGGTTTTATTTGAAAGCGTTCGTCTTGCCACATTCAAAGCAGTTTTCAGATTTGAAAAATAATGATTTTTGAAGCTAGTTACAGCTATTTTTGGTTGGTGGCTTAAGAAACCAAATTTCGATAAAGTTAGGCCATGGCGTACATGATTCGAAAGAGCAAGCTCTGAGTGTTCCATATCAGTTTTCAGATTTCAGAAATATCAATTTAGAAGTGAGTTATGACCATTTTAGTTTCGTGGCCTAGAAATCCAAAACTAGGCCATATCGCCCAAATTTGGATTGGTCATAACTCGCTTCAAAATCGTTATTTTTGGAATCGAAAAACTGATTTGGAACTCTCACAGCATGCTCTTTAGAACCATGTACACCATGGCCTAACTTTTTCAAAACTTGGATTTCTAGGCCACCAATTTAAAATCCATTATAACACGCTTCAAACTTCAGATTTTTCAATTGTTTTTTTCCAGACAACTCAGACCTCCTCTCGTGTACCGTAGTCCCTCAACAACCGTGCTCTATCGGAAAGCCTGGCGATCGCCTAGCTCGATTCCTGGTCACAGATCGCCTCCAATTGATTCTCGTGGAGCCGGACTCTCGAAAAGCCGGCTGGGCGATTGTTCGATTCGTTGGGCTGCTTCAGGATACAACGATTAATGGTGATTCGGCGGATTCCAAAGTGCTACATGTGGTTGTAGAGGGGCAACCGAGTCGGCTGAAGAAGAGACATCCCGTGTTGACTGCCAAATTGATTTTTGACGATCATATCAGGTGTATGGCTGCGAAACAGAGATTGACTAAGGTGAGAGACAGATTATCGAAAAAATATCGATTTTGTAGCCAGTTACGTCTTTCTTAGCTTGGTGGCCTAGAAATCCAAAACTCGGTCATATTGTCCTGAATTTAAAACGATTCTAAAGATCATGCTTTGAGAGTTCCATATCAGTTTTTAGATTTGAAAAATATCAATTTAGAAGCGAGTTATGGCCATTTTAGTTTGGTGGCCTAGAAATCCAAAACTAGGCCATATCGTCCCAAATTTGAAATGNCCATAACTCGCTTCAAAACCCATGCTTTTCAAATCTTAAGACTCATATGGATGTCTTTAAACATGCTCTTTGGAACCACGTCCCAAAAGTTTTAAATGATCATAACATGCTTAAAAATTCAGATTTTTCGAATCTAAAAAGTGATCTGGAACTCTCAAAACATGCTATTTCGAACCATGTACGTCGTGGCTTAGTTTTCGGATTCCTAGGCCACGAAAATTGGATTTCTAGGCCACCAACTTAAAATTGGCGTAACTTGCTACAAATTTGTCCTTTTTCGATCCTGAAAAGCGATTGATGCATTCTAGATTTAGGATTACCTTGTCCTCTGTCGCTTTCGTTAGGAGTTTTAAGGATTTTCAAAGTGACCTAGAAATCCAAATTTAGAAAAGCTAGGCCATGGTGTACATGGTTCGAAAGAGCATGTTCTGAGTGTTCCGTATCAGTTTCTAGAAATCAAAAATATCGATTTTGAAGCGAGTTATGGC